ATAGTATATATACCACGGTAGAGAAGTCTATTATTGCCTTCGCACCTTACACCCCTCGGCGCAAGCGCCTCGAGATGTAATCTTGGTGCTCAGGCAATAATAGTGGACTTCTCTACCTTGATATATAATGTACTATTAGAAACATGCCAGCGGTAATTGTGTACAATTTAGCTTTTTTCGATATCTTTTATGGTAAAGGAGTTATGATCCGAGGTATCTTAGGTGCCACACCCTGTGTATTAAAAAATGCAAATTTAGATTGGGGGTGGATGGGGCGCCGAATATCACGTTGGGATGGTATATCATATAGGTACATACTATTAATTGTTCCCCTACTGCCTGAATGATATTCCAGAATTTCAAGTCAAAACGCCAGATATAATTCCATTTAAAGTTTTCGCGTGGTAGAGAAGTGTATTATTACTTAATATTATACTTCTCTACCTTGGTATGTAATATAAATAATATGGACACAGTAAGACAGTGCAAATTTTTTAAATTCCCGCATTTTTAAAGAGGTGTCAAGATACTGTGAATGTAGCTAAGCAAGCAACCCGTGCATGGTGAAACAGTGGTGCATTTATCTTGTTCCTGTGAAGTTCAAATTTAAAAAGCGTGATTATTCAAAGGTCAGTGAAATACTTTAGCTTCTTGTTTCAGATTTTTTAAACAAAAATGGGCGAAATTTTTGAAAACTTTGAATATTCCATATGATGTGTATATGCATGCTCTATAACAGGGGTCGGCAACCTTTTGGTAAGTGTGGGCGAATGTGTAGTTGTGATCCGTGTGAGGGGCCACAGGGGGGGTTAGGGGGGTACGGAGTACCCCCCAAAGGGAAGGGGGGTCCAGGGGTCCTCCCCCGGAAAATGTAAATTCGAATTCACAGTTTTAGCGCCCTAAATTGGTACAAAATAGTTATTTTTCATGTAGTAATTTGCGTTGGAGCGACAGCAAAAAAATATTAAAATACTACTACTTGCAAAAGGGATAGATTAAAAAAAGTTGAATGCTGTTCTAGGATGGAAGTGATTCATACTTCAAGTTCGTTCTAATGCATGTCGCAATTTTGCCGTTCATTTTCACATTATTCGAATGTAAAAGTCGGGCCATATATTTAGTAAAATTTAAAACACTTCGCGGGCCATTAAGAAACGGCGTGCGGGCCGCCGGTAGCCGACCCCTGCTCTATAACCTCAAATAAATACATTCCAAGTTTCTTGTTCCTTCTTACCTTACCGATCCAGCAGTTAGTAGTACACATTGAGAGTCCAGGCTAAAGAGCTCTAAAATAATCTATTTTCAAAAAAAATTAGTTACCGCGCGAAACCGGGGTTTTTAAGGCAGGTGAAATGAATACAAATTGGGAAAAAATAATTAAACCAGCTAAATTTTTCCGCGGGTGAAATCCCGAGGGTTGAAAGGGGTGGAAAGTGGTGTTTTGCAAATTGTGGCAAAATTTTAGACGAAAATGTTCAATGTATAGAGATAAAAAAAAATGAGCAACTTTTGTATCTGCATTATTTTCACATAACCTCGAATTTTACTAGAAAAATCAGAAAAACTGTTTTTTTCGTTTTTTATTCTTATTTTTGCGAAAAAAAAGTCGAAGGGGTTTGAAATTTGGAGGAAACAGCTTGTTTTATGATAAAAAAGAAGATAATTGTTTGGGGCTGTAAAGTTGAACCGTTTCCAAGATCTCACGATTTCTGAAAAAAACCACCTCTCTTTCAAGGGGACAAAAAATCTATTTTTTTTTCATCGTGCAGAGGTGCGCGGAGTAGCAAAATTTTCGTAAAGACTTACATTTTAATAATCAAAAATAAAAAATATTATTCCAATAGAAAAATTTTAAGAAAAGCGGCAAAAACCAGGGGAGCAGTATTAAGATATACCGTTTTTGACAGTAGGTAAATAACTTTTTTTGAACTAAATTAACGTATTGGATTCGCGCTGATAAAAAGTTTTTGAAATCTGTCTTCTCTCTCCTCTTTAATGTTGCTAAAATATTTTCTTTTGTTTCCCAGTGCCCAACTGCCTCAATTAAAACGTCTTTATTATTTCTTTTTTCTGCATTTTTACCGCAATAAAAGCAATTCGAAGTAGAATCGAATTCTTTTGCTTCCTGAACAATTTGTTTTTGTTCACTAACTCTTCTTCCTGCCTGTTTTACACCTGATGCGATTGCGCCTGGGTCTGTTGATCGTTAATTTACAGGAATTTTGAATAAAATTCTCACGAAGTTTATTCCAGGTTTATATTTCAAATCATTTGCTTTGGCCGGTAAAACTAATGTTCTTATTGCAGATTTTGCAAGTTTATCAACAGGCCCAACGCAATTGCATCAGCTATAAAACGGGCAGGAAGAAGAGTCAGTGAACAAAAACAAATTGTTCAGGAATCAGGAAGCAAGATAATTCGATTTTATTTAGAATTGCTTTTATTGCGGTAAAAATGCAGAAAAAAGAAATAATAAAGATGTTTTAACTAAAACAGTTGAGCATAAGATAACAAAAGAGAATATTTAAGCAAACATTAAAGAGAAGGAAGAAGACAGATTTCGAAAAAATCTTTATTAACATCCAATATGATGATTTATCGTGTCAAAAACCGTGTATATCTTAAAACTGTTGTTCCAGTTTTTGGCGATTTTTTCTAATTTTTGCTATAGGAATAATATTATCTTATTTTTGTTTATTAAAATATAAGTCTTTCCAAAAATTTTGCTACCCTGCGCATCTCTGTACGATGAAAAAAAAATAGATTTTTCATCCCCTTGAAAAAGAGGTGGTTTTTTCAGAAATCGGGAGATCTTGGAAACGGTTCAACTTTACGGGCCCAAAAAATTATCTTCTTTTTTAATCATAAAACAAGCTGTTTCAAACCCCTATGACTTTGTTTCGCAAAAATAAGAATAAAAACCGAAAAAAACAGTTTTTCCGGTTTTTCTGGGAAAATTCGAGGTTGTGTGAAAATAGTGTAGATACAAAAGTTGCTCATTTTTTTAATTTCTATAACTTTTACATTGAACATTTTCGTCTAAAATTAATAGTTTTGCCACAATTTGCAAAACACCACTTTCAACCCCCGTGATTTCACCCGCGGAAAAATCCAGCTACCTGAAAAACTTGTAAAAAAATATATAGCCTGGACTATCACTACATAATGCTATTTTTAGGAATGGTTCGTGTAAAAAAGAAGAGAAAAATTGGTGCCACGTCAAAGGAAGCCATGGCTAAGACTGTGAGGCTGGTTATAGACGAACATTCTTCCATAAGACAAGCTGGCGAAGTTTGTAGTATCAAATTCCAGACTTCAGTTAGATACGTCCAAAAAGTAAGAAACTATGGCAATAGGCAGATATTCACCGAAAAAGAAGAACAAATGCTCGCTGTTTATACAGGGTGTTACATGACCGCATGCAAAAAAAAATTGGGTGATACGGGGGGATCAAGACAAACACTTTTTCCAAATAAACCGATGGTCCAACGTGTTTCGTTTGAGAGCCACCCCCAAAGAAATGGTGAAGTTTGAATTTCTTCTTTTTTTTCTCAGCACCCATAAGACTTACAAAGATGGGTGGTACGTTTTTGAATAGGTTTTCGGGTATGCCTTATCCGGTTTTTACTTGGGGGTTCGCAAAAAATTCTGATTTCGACGAAATTTGGTATCTGGGGGTTTTTGAACATGAAAATGACGAATCTGAAATTAGTTTTTGAAATTTCAAAAAAAAAAAGTTCCACTGCAATTCTTGGCCGGGCAACGAAAATCGAGAGAATTACACGAAATTTGGTGTGTACATACTTTATGAATTAAGGAACAAAATTGTCGAACAGTTTTTTAAAATAACTATTCAATTAAAAGTTATACTCATTTGAAGATTGGGCCTTCGGGTTACAAAGTGTCTCCTGCCTACTAGTGAGTGATCTAATTTCACATGTAGTTAATTGAAAATGTCACAAATAACAAAAAAACATAACGATTTAAGTCGGTGTTACGATACTTGCAATAATACTTATTGATTGTAATACAATTTTACTTAAAAATCATTTTCCTATCACACGCAGCCACGGAATTTTTGGAATCGAATTTGCAGACTTGAATACCAAGATCGACATATCGAATTTTTTGTGATCATTTAATCATAATTATCGACTTAAATCATTTACAATAACTCCTGAAACCATCAGAAGTTACCCCAAAGCTGCACCTAGGAAAACCAAGAGACAAAGGACTAAACACTATTATAACTGACACCCCTGAAAAAACATTATTAGAACAGAAAGCTGAAAGCGGAGCGCAACAAAAATTACACCAAACTACGAAAAATTTAAAACATGAGTTAGGAATAATTGACGTTCCATGCAATTTATTTAATACCGTCTCACAGTGTACTACCCTCCCCTATAGATATTTAGTATTACTACACTGAAAACAAAACGCTACAAGTGGCACGAATCTGTAGCCATGAGAAACTGTTTCATGAATCATGGCTGTGCAATTTTATCTAAACATTTTCGATTCATTAATATGCGCCTTATACCATTCGCTTTAATAGTGTTAAAGTCGCTCATTCATCCTTTACTTTTATTTATGAATATTTACCATTAATTGGGATAAACAGATTGCATTAAAACACAAAATTAATCGAGCGAAGTGTTATAATTAAGGAAATAAACAACTGTGTGTTGTTTATTTTCTGTATGGTTCATCACTCGATTTAGAGTATGGATCAACCACGAGTTTTTTCTGTTAACATTAAAATAATAATTCAACTGATTCATTGCAATTATTATCTCTAGGCAAAGTCTAATAATATCCACAAGGTTTAAAAAGCCACAGCGCGTCATACTAATTATGCGAGTAGTGTCAAAAGGCGACAACGGATTGCAATAACAGGCTAACGTTAATCGTGTATTTTATCACGTTTTTACCGAATACCAATATTTTTAAAAATAACAACTTTAGGTAGGAAAGGTATAGTATTTAAAAAGTCTTACCTAATTACGTGTTTCGTTGGTATAACTTTAAACGCGATCGACGAACTTGTGCAGCTACCAGCTCACAACAGACATGATGAAGTAAGAAAGGAATATTGTGCTAGCGGCTACGGTAGTTGATCTGATGTACCACCACCACTTTTACTGCGCAAACGTTACAGCAACTATTTGAAAATTGTCGGATTAGTAAATTATAGGGTAATAGTAGGGGAGCTAACACGAAATCCACTGAACGAGAATGATCAAAAATTTAACCGATGGTGTTCCATTTTGCCCTATCAGAGTATGCTCAAATCGATCGTCTGCCGCCTCAGGTCATACGACTTAATGCGCTGCGGGTACTTCTTGCGGTACCAATTCTGAAAGGTTGTTTTTCGAAAAAATAAGTTATATACCAAATGAAAACGTTGATAATGGCTCTTAAAAAAATATTTAAAAAAATCCCGCGCATTTGATAACTCCGTAAAAACACAATTCTTAGTCGGTTTTTCACGAACTTTCTACGGATATAACTAGGTTACGGTGAGACGAATGAAGCTGATTTTTTTTACAGACTGATGATAGGTACTACTAATGACTTAACGGTGTTTCGTTTTTAAATTTTGTCTCTAATTACAAGATTATCTTATTAGCTTAACATTATAAGATATCTTATAATTAGAGAAAAAATTTAAAAAAGAAACACTCTCATAGTCATTGGCTGTACCTATCATTAGTCTGTAAAAAAAATCAGCTTCATTCTTCCAACGGTAACCTAGTTATATCCGCAGAAAGTTCGTGAAAAACCGACTAAGAATTGTTTTTTTTACGGAGTTATCAAATGTGCGCGATTTTTTTAAATATTTTTTTAAGAGCTATTATCAACGTTTTCATTTGGTGTATAACTTATTTTCTCGAAAAACAACCTTTCAGAATTGGTACCACAAGAAGTACCCGCAGCGCCTTAAGTCGTATGACCTGAGGCGGCAGACGATCGATTTTAGCATACTCTGATATGGCAAAATGGAACTCCATCGGTTAAAATTTTGATCAATCTCGTTCAGTGGATTTCGTGCTAGCTCCCCTACTATAATCAAACAAGCTTTTCTATAATCAATTGAGGAGCGTTTTTTCAAAACTCAAAAGTGCAAAATTGGTGAAAACTGAGCATGTTATCATATATGTATTTTCTGATGCCAGCTTTCTGTTCGTGAACACAGAATAGAGCAAAACGCAATAAAAACCGTGTTATAAACATTCAAAATATGTACGGTTTTGCAAAACTCAACAAAACCGTCAGGATTTATCAAAACTCAACAAGATGCAATTTGCAGTTCTATAAACGTTGTATACTTTGTTTCAAGGGTGCTGAACCTTTCGTCACACTATCTGACGTCATAGCAAAATTAAGGCAGGTCGTAAATTAGTAGTTGGTTTACATATTGTCACATTAACGTTTCAACTTATTTATTAAGGTGTCACTATCGTTCATCATTATTAGACCGCCCAAGTTGACAATCACTTGTAAGGCATCTGGTTCTGATAGGTTTTTTCCTGTTCTTAGGTTTTATAATGGCTAAATGGTCATGTATTTTATGTAGAGGAAGTCCGTTGGTATGAATTAAACCTTTTCAACCGTTTGTAATAACCTCATGTAACCGATTCTTTGCACATCCGAATGGATACTGCCAGAGCATCCGAAACTCTTTGAGATGAAGTGTATGATGGTTACAGAAAACGCATAGGAACATTTGTAACTTAAAGTTTGTTTAGGCAGTTCGTAAATTAATATTTTGTTTACATAATGTTGATGTGAAATTAAGTATGCTACCAATGTGAAGAATACGCGTTAAGTTGCGCGAATTTTAATGACCCTTAACTAGCCATTTGCAGAAGTAGAATAGGCCATGGTTTATCGGTAAGCCTTTTGCATTTATAGATCTTACAAATTTGAGATAAAGCGTAGTCATTATACCACTGGCTCATTGAAATAACAACGCATACATACAGTTTCTGTTCTTTTGCCACACAGTCGAGATATTCGCATAAGGATCTTGAATATCTTCTGATCCGATTTATTTAAAAAAAAAACGCAATTGTGAAAGAAAACAGGTAGTGAAGAAAAAACTCTCAAATGTTCATATTCAAATCGTATCTACAAAAGACAAAAAGCGACACTACACCACAAATCCATCTTCTGATCCTGCATGGAGTATTAGGTATATACCGGACCCCTTCACTACTTCTTTTTCTAACTGTTTTGAGAGTACCATCTTGCCAGCTTCTTCTAAAAGACCCTTTACTGTATATCCAGGTTTCGTCTAAAACCACAGGTCGTAATGGAAAGAGTGAAGTTTCGTTGTGTTTAAAGTCTCTCAAAAATTGTAGTCTTCTTTGAACTGCATAGGGCTGTTCCATTAAAAATAATCTATTGGAGACGGTGCATCTCCGCCACGTGAATTTCAGTTTCTTCAAACTGCGGGACAAAGAGGTACCAGATATTTCTACGCCATCAAGTCGTTGAAGATTACTGTGTAAGGAACGGAGTGTAACATTCTCACCTATAAAATCAATTCAATACCTAAGTGTTCTGGCGAACATCTTCATTCTGTGTATCGGTTCGTCATATTTACCTAATGGTAACGGGAATGACCTAAATTCACGATATGAGCGAATCGAACCATTATGCGGTAAAATTTTTAAAATACTTGTCTATTAACGGCGTTGCTGCACTGTCGACTTGCCTAAGCGTTTTTAACTTTGATGATATTTACTTCACTTTTAACACAAACTACCTAATCAACACTGGAAATCTGTCTATAACGAAAATCGTTTGACGGATTGATATTATGACAGATCAATTGGTTTATTTGTCACGACTTACGTTAATGACGTAATTTTTTTGTCTCAATCGATTTAAATGTAATGAAGAGAGAATCACATTTATGACGTCAGGTTCAGCACCAGTGAAACAAAGTATATACCTACTTGTGTTGTCCGTAAAGCGAAATTTATCATGGAGAGCGGAAATGGCGAAATTGACACCGGTGAATATGATAACCATGTCCAAAGCACATCTGGAGGGCGTAAAAGTGGTAAAAATCGAACAAAAACTAGGTATTTTGGTGGTCTCAATAATCCACCAATAGTTAAATGCCCTCACACAGTTTTGCAAAAAACTGGAAAAAGGAAATGCGTAGGCGCTTCTTTAAGCATTGGGGACGTAGAATTCACTTGACATTTCTTAAGCTAGTCTTAGACGGTAATATTTCTTACATCATATTTGTTATCAAATTTGTGACCCAACGGATTGTGACCGTATAATACAGAATTTTTCATGTCAACAAATTTTTGTTACAAAATGTGATAGAAAATACGACGTGTCCTATTTCTATAACAATTCGTGTCACTTTTTGGACATAATGTGTAAAGACTACAATTTAATTTCGAATACAAGTGATATTTTTTGTATGAAACTTAAATCTATTATTCAGTTAATTACAAATTAAAGGTCGTATATTTTTTATATTGTAAATCACAGGTTATGATATCTACTTACTCTATATGTGTTCATTTTGATTTAAATTATTTAAGTATTTTTTTTTTGTGTAGATTATATTATTAAGTTATCACTCTCTACTTGAATTTAATTTAATTTTGTCCTGTTATTGGATTTATTCTGTTTGGGCAATAAAGCATTATTATTATTATTATTATTATAAGCATGCCCATAAACCAGAAGTTATAAAATACCGCTTTTAAGCTGTTTGACTTAACCTAAAAATTTACGCCAGTCGCCAGCACGAAAAGTGGTTTGTGGTCGCCACTGATAATCAATATGTCTTGGACAAATGACCAAGTATCATTGTTAATTGAACAGTATGAAAAAAATGAGTGTTTGTATTTTGTGAAACATAAGGACTACCACAACAAGCAAAGACGTGGAGTGGCATTGGATCGTGTCTGTAGGGCACTCAATGCAATTCGACCGAACACAACAACTGTGGAAATTCAAAAGAAATGGAATGGCATTCGAAACACTTATGCAATTGAACGGAGAAAGTATCTAGCAAATTTCCGTAGTGGTGCTGGAGAAGAGGATGTAAGTTAATTGTTTTGCAACACGTACTTCAGATGTTTAAACGCACTCTTATTTCAGATTTATACTCCATCATTGTGGTACTATGAGAAACTGACCTTTTTAAACCAGCACCTAAACATTCGACAGTCTACATCATCGTATCAATTAGATACTTTGGATGACGAACAAGGCGAACTCATAGAAGGCGAATATGAACTACAATGTGATGGGAGTTTGACACAACTATCTTCTCCGGCATCAAGTGATGATACTGTTGTAGGAAGTTATTGTAGTAGAGCTTCGACACCTGCTAAAAAAACGACGTTCAAAAGATTGTGGGGAAGCCAATGTAATAATAATAATATAATAATAATAATAATATATATTGACTGCATACTTGTAACAAAAAAATATACATTTGCAGAAGTCACACAATATTGTTGAAATCTAAATCTTCTAAATTTTCAAATACTGCTACGCTATAAAAGGCATGTTTAATTAATACACATTTAAGAATTTTCCTAAGGCTTAGGATTGATAATTTTCTTATACTTACAGGTAATTTATTAAAAAGTATGACAGAAGTGTTTTGAAAACTCATATATGTTTTGTGTAGCCTACAGTATTTCACATAAATTTCTGTGGACGAACGTGTGTTGTGGGAGTGTATGTCAGATCTTAAGGAATAATTGTCCAATTGAGATCTGGCATACAAGATGCAATTTAAAATATATATGAAGGAACAGTTAGTGCTCTTAGTTGGATAAACATGTCCCTGCAATCTTCTCTGTAATCCAAGTTGCCAACGATTCTGATTGCCTTCCGTTGTAGTGCAAAAATCCCATTTGAATGTGAGCAATTCCCCCATACAATGTTGCAGTACATTAACTGTGACTGTATTAATGCAAAATATGCGACCCTTAAGACACGAACAGAGACGTTATCAGATAACCTTCGTAATGCAAAGGTATTGCGAGCTATTGTTGCAGCTAAATGATCTATATGTTTGTTGAAACTTAGTTTGGGATCAATCCAAACTCCAAGGAACTTAGACTCAGCTGGATTTCTATCATAGTTGTGCGGTCTCAAGGACATAACCATTTCCGTTGTTTTAGTATGATTTAGACACAATTCGTTTGCTGCGCACCAATTATCGGCTATCTGCAGTGCTGCGGTAGATGTGTTGATTAAGCGTTCCATATCACCTGCATTCGTAAGAACAGTTGTATCGTCGGCGTATTGTAGACACTGTCCAATAGTAGAGAGCGTTGGTCCAAGATCGTTAATAAACAGAATAAATAAAAGAGGTCCCAAAATAAAAGCATTTTTTCAGAGCTTTCCAATGACGTATCACACATGGAGAGTCACTATTTAAGATTTAAAAGTTGGGGTGACTGGGGCGCAGGGGGTGCATCGCCAACTATGTCATTGTGATTCCCCCTCCGAATTACCGAAACGGATTTTGATTTTTTTAAATATCTCGTTTATTTACTAAGATATGGGGGGTGGTAAGTTTTCAAATTGTCACCCTGTACATATAATTTATTACCAGCCACTTTAGTAACCAATCAGCAAACTATAAAGTTCAGAAATGATCTAAAAGAGTTTCTAGTCAAAAACAGCCCTTATTCATTTCAGGAATTTGTTACGGCGTGCTCTCAACTGTGATATTTGATTTTTATGTATTTTGATGTATTATGATATTTATACCTTGTTTTTTGTTTTTTTAATCTACATTCTTGTCCAAATCTTATTTATATCATATATGTATACATAATGTTTGTGATTCAAATGAAAATGACGATGTCAATATTTCTTGGAAATAATCGACAATAAAAAAAAAAAAATATTTGTTTATTAAATACTCCTGCAAATCAAGACAACGAAGATGTTTATGCGAAATACTCGTCTTCCAGAATAAAAAATATTCAAAGCAGAAGTAGAAAACTTAAGCCAAAACATTCCATAGAAAATTTAATTTTTAATGCAGAAATGGAAGAGGCAGATAGTTAAGCGTACATTTTTTTGTTACAAGTGTACCAATACTGTTTTTATTCGCGTATTTCTTTTTTAAATAAATAAAATTGCATTGCTAGCTACCTAATATTTATTGCTATTTAACATATTTCCATAAATTTTTTAAAACTAAATGATTAATAATATTTTACAATTACACAATATTATTTTGCCATAGCTTCATTTGTGGATCTATTACCACCTTGAATTTGTACCAAATTTGGTAGTTTATTGTTATTTATAGCAATTTTTTTATACTTAGGATTTTTACTTAATAAAAAATTATGTAAAACACAACAAGTTAAAGTGATTAACTCCACTTTATCAGGACTTAAATTTATAGTATTCAGTAGTATTCTAAACCTATTTGCCAAGATTCCAAAGGCATTCTCTACCACACGTCTCGCACGTGATAATCGATAATTCAATATTCGTTTATCGTTTGTCAAACCTCGATTATTAAATGGCTTCATGATTCTCTTAGACAATGGAAATGCATCATCTGCTATAAATGTATACGGTATTGGAATATCTTGATCAGGAAGACATTCGTCAGTAGGTAAATTAAGTTTACCTCTGTCAATGGCAAGTTTTAAGGACGATTCGCTGTAAACACCTCCATCACTTACTCGACCATTTACCCCTACATCTACGTATAAAAATTTGTAATTTGCGTCGGCAACGGCAAGAAGCACAATGCTGTGATCCCCTTTGTAGTTATAAAAGTACGATCCTGCACTACGTGGAGCTCTAAAATTTATGTATTTTCTATCAATTGATCCAAGGCATAGAGGGAAATTCCATTTGCTTTGCTGTGGAAATCACAGGCAATCTTTTTCCAATCTTGTTCTGCAGTTGGCATCTTACAATATATCGATATTAATACATCACAAATTCCATTTATATAAGTAACTGACCTGTAAATATTGTTGTTTTAAGTTCCGGAAGATAGCTGTACATACACGGAGAAAAATCGCTGGGTACCAATTAGGGTTACTATAATCAAAAGTAACATTTTATGTTACAAAATCGTACTTTACAATAAATAAGCATTCGTTATGAAAACTCGCTCTGTGAATCAAGATTTACGTAAAACGGAGTAACCTTAAAAGAAGACTTCTCAAAATTGTAAATGCAATTCTTAACAATTTACAGTTGTAATTATAGAAAAAAGTTAAATAACGTCAGGTTTTCTTGTGACGTCATGAAAGCAAGATTTCGAGAATTGTAACTTAATATTACACCGTGCAGGTGTAAGATGTAAAATTGTAAATTGAAAATTGTAAAATGAAGTGCGACGTGATTAAAAGGAGATTACTGGAAATGTAACTTATAATTCCTGGAATAGTCATATATAATTAGACACAATTACATTTAGGTACTATACAAGATTGCTTACCTGTAAATTACAATTAATGTACCTAAATTTAAAGCTTGAATAGTTACTTTTGAATTACGGATGTAGTCATGTTCTTATGGGTGAATAACTTTATTTTGCAAGTAAGAGATTCCTGATTCAGCATTACGCTTGCATTTTTATTATATTATTAGCGGATTTAAGTTAGAGTTAGCTGAACTTTATTCGGTAAAACATCGCATACTTATTGTAACTTAATTGAACCTAATGTGCATTTCATATTTTGTGATGGCTGATGAACTAACCGAAAATTTGTTAAGACAGTGGGGATTCTCACACAAAATTGAAGATTTTAAAGGTAAGTAGATACTTTTATTAATTAATAACAATAATCAGTTGGAGAGGAGCAAAGTCAAGTGTTGGGTTTACTAATCGTAAGGGGATTAATACATCGCGCATTGTTCGGTACCGAGGCCCTGTCCTTTCTTTTCCATGTCTCACACATCGTTCCGCGTGCGATTTCTGAATTATGATTATGTAATGTAAGTAAGGTATATAGACTAACAACTTTTAAAACAGTATTAGTTCAGGCCTCCAAGCACTGGGTGCAGAATAATGGGTTTCCTTGCAAAAAGTCCCTATATACCTAACGTTGGCGCATAACTATTTCACTTTATTAGCGATAATCTAAAAGCTGTTTTGATAGAGATTCATTACATTAAAAAAAAATTAAAAATGCTCGATTACAAGAGCACAACCACAGAACAAAATTATTGATTCGATACAAATGCAATAGCGGTAGCTATCTCTTACATTTGCGTAAATTTTTCAAGTCAATCAAATTTTAAACTTTTTTGTCTTGAGCTTTATTTTGTATACCTATTTTGTAAATTACCTACTTACTTATTATAGATTGATTTTTGATTATCGCATGTTACTCTTTTTGATGTTTTTGTGCTTCAATATGTTTTCATTTGTGTTAGATCAAAGTATTGATTACGCAACGCTACAAATTCTAACGGAGGCCGAATTAACGCAATTGCTTCCTGTGCTCGGTGAAAGAGCAAGATTTAGGCAACTGTGGGCTCCGGAAAGATGACATGGAAAAAGTCGGAAATACAGAAAATTTTTCGGTCAGTTAAAGTATTTTTAATGCAGTTTATTCCCAAATGATATAATTAAATAAAATCATTGTGATTGTGACTACCTCGGTAAATATTTATGTCACCACCTAACAAACTTTTTGTTTTTTAGTTTCTTACTGAACTGATGAATGTGGATCTTCCCGCCAGCACATCTTCCTCCCCAGTACCGCTTCTTCTTACTGACCAAGCTGGGAGCTCTACTTTTACAGCAGTAGATGTTTTACCTCCATCTATTCTAAAGGAAACCACCAATTTTAATGAATTCGAAAACCAAACAGTATGTACAGAAGTACACAATTTCGCAGTATTCTTATCTTCTACTATTTCAGTGCTACCAAATATTGACAAAGTCAACGTTGGGGAAGGAAAGGCCCAGGACGGATTTATTGATAAAGCAGACAGAAAAAGGGTGGCTAATTTAATTATTAGTTCTATATTGGAAGCAGAACCTACCAAATCTTTACCAAGCCATTGCCACCTCAAATTTTCTCTAGAATTGCATCAAATATTTAAGAAAGTTGACCCTTCTGCATTTTTTACAACATACGCAAAAGTGGATAAATTCAATCGGAAAAGGAATCTTGGAGGGCCCCTATATGTGGCGTATCTTAAGAAAAGAGCGGAACTTAGAGGAGCAAATGTCCTTCCTAAATCTTCACGATCTAGTAGTCGAGATTCCCGTAGTTCTACGCAAAGCGTAGTAGATGAAGATTATATACCAGTCGAAAACCAAGAAGTTCAAGACAAACTGAACTTTTTGAAAAACACCATTCAACCTTGGTCGGTGGTATTAAGTAATTGGAAAGCTGCTGTTAATGCTAGGAAACGCGAACTAGAAAGAAACCTAACTATATTTCAATATTTTGATACCTACCCAGCATTAAAGACATCCGAAGGTTATAGACTGGTAAATTTATTGGGTATTCATATTTAAAAGTTTTTAATGTGTTTTTTTAAGTTGTTAGAAGATTTTACAATCTTCCACGAAGGTAAAGAGGACAAGTTTTTTTCTTCCTTCATACAAGCGCAAGATAAAATAATAGAAATATCTGAAAAGAAATGCAATAAAGTAGTGGACAAGGAAGTGAAATCTATAATTGAACAGCTGGTAGCGCTTAGGAAAGGTGAGTCCCATTTTATTAGAATTATTTACAATTACTTTTTTCATATACATATAATACACAAGTGGTCTGTTTTGTGCCGACAAGATTTTTGTAACAAATTACTGTAGTAGCTATTGCAACGACAATCACATAAGTCGACAACGGGGACGAGTGGGATGGGCCAAAAGCAACAGCTACGAGTTAATTTGCACAAAAATTTTTGCCGCAAAAATTAGACCACGAGTTGAAAGTTTGTTGCTTAGTAATTTCGCAAACTACATTCGTTGACAAAATCAATATCCAAAGGCAAATGTCATGAGCGAAGTAATTTTGTGATCAATTCTTTTTCTGGTTTATATTCGGCAAGACCTCAGAGTAATGAGGGCAAGACTATTTCACGAAATCAAGCAATAACTAAACTAAAAAAAAAAAAAACTAAGCGCGTCAGCAATAAATTCATTTTCCAGTGTAGATTGAGTTTTATTACTTATTTATAAAGAATAAAATGGACCTACACAAGGTAACACTCAACTCTATAATAGTTATTTATTTAATCAGTGGGATAACGGCCTCATTAACTTACGAATGCGACAATTGCGCATACGAGGGCGTTAGCCCGAGCTATTGTAAGAGTATGAGTATGTTAATGGCCGTTAGCCCAAGTATTAAATACAACTTTTTATCTGCGACTGTTCTTCTACTGCTAAAAACGAAAAATAAATTTGATGCATTTTTTTTAATTTCAATCGAAGTAGCATAGTTAGCAGTTTTCGACGCCATAGAAACAAGAAAATCCTAACGTCAAGAAAATTTGTACGTCAAAAATTTTGCTTCTGATTTCTTTGCTTATGTCATGAGTGAGTCTGGAACTCTTCCATCAGACGTTAATGTTTACAATATATAATCTTGATAGTTGATTTTTGATCATACATTGTTTTGACAAGGGCTTATCCCACTGAGTGTGGTAATTAAGTTCTTATCCCACTTAAAATGACCGGGATAAGTGAGAGTTATCCTACAGGCGCAGATAAATATAATAACTAAACTGACAAAATATGTGACATTTGTCCAAATTTTGCGGCTGAAAAAGCTTTATGTTGGTTTTACGAGATGAGAGTTTTTCCATTATAAACCAGATCCTTTCTATGTTGTTTTTCGAGTATAAAATAATCAAGTGAAATAGTCACTGTAAAACTTTAACTATTCATAAAATCAATGATACATTTGGTATTTTTTATAGGAGCAGATTTAGAAGCCAAAACAAACGCAGCAATTTTATTGCTACCGTTTCTCGTACCACTACCTTCATCTAGGAAAAAGGGTGCAAAGTTTTGGCGTCCTTCCACAATTGAAGTGCGGGATTCCTTCATTACACTGGTACCTTCTGACACCGATATACCAACCGCTGTGAAGGAGAAAAAGGAGAAGTTGTCCCAGTTGGGTAAATCATTTCAGCCATCGATTTTTGCGTCAGGTGGTGCCAGTAAAATAAATTGCGCCTTTGTTGTTATTGACGAAACGTTTTTTTAAATTCTCCTGTTTATTGCAAGCTGTAGATGCTGCCTTTAAAATTTTTTTTGCTACTCAGGCCAAATATCCTGAAGAATGCCAGCACATATGGCTACTAATTCAAATAGGATTGTGCAAAACTGATGATGATGTAAAGCCATCAGCGGGAATTTGTTCTTTATTAAGTGATTTGGGTATTTATCTCACACAATAAATTAAATTCTTTTTTATTTTTAATAAAAGTGAAAATGTTTACATGTTACGGTTGTAAAAACACTTTTGAATGTAAATCTAAATTGATAGCGCATATGAAATCATTTTGCCGTTTTGCTACCAATCAATATACTTGTGGTGAAGCAAATTGTGGCAGGGCTTATACGTGTAGTAATTCTCTTAGGAAGCATTTAACTCGCGAACATAGTGATTGCGAAACACCTGTTTCTATTAATGCACATAATGAGTATGAAGTACAGGAATTGTCTACACTCACGAAAACTGTAAATGATCAATCTATTGGTTGTAGTAGTACCTCCACACTATCAAACACAGAATACAATTTAAGTCACCAAATCTCTTTGTTTTTATCTTCTTTGTATGCTAACCCTTCGATTTCTCGAGTCGTTGTTCAGTTTGTAACAAATGAATTTCAAAAATACCTCACAACTAATCTGGAATCATGTTTGACAAATAGCCTTCGTGAATTATTGCCACCTTCGTATTTTGAATCTAATTTGCATATTATCAACACCGCATTAGCTGTGGTCAGTAATACTATGAAGTGTTTCAGCTCAGAACATTTAAGATTTCGTTTCTTTTCCGATCTTGGTACTTTTTTCCCCCTTTAGAAGTTCAAATTGGCCAAAGAATGGAATATAAACGGGGACAAGTTGGAATGTCATTATCATCTGTGCCGTGCACTATGCAAGTTATAGAACTTACTGTAGTTTTGGAAAAATTCTTTTCAATTCCTAATATGCTTCAAGAATGTTTGGATTACATATGCTATTTGGAAGATAGAGAAAATAATAGTTTAGAAAACATTATTCAAGGTTCCGTTTGGCGAGAAATGAAAGTCACCTTTACTAATACAAAAAAAGAATTGAATTTTCCTCTAATCATTTATTACGATGATTTCGAAGTAGGAAATCCTTTAGGATCCCATTCCGGTATACATAAACTAGGCGGTGTGTACATTTCCATTCCATGTTTACCTCCACATTATACCTCTTTGTTGAAAAACATCTTCTTGTTTGGCCTTGTGTTTCAAAAAATCAGTTAATACCTAAATGAAATGAAAACCAACGGAGTTAAAGTTAACGTAAACAAGTTTAACGGTGTAATACGGTTTCTACACACATAGACAAATACAACTTAATAACAGAAGAGACCAAATCATTTACACACGGTTACGAATTGGCCACTCTAGATATACACATGAACACCTCATTTCCAAAAACCCACCTAAACAGTGTAACGCATGTCACATACCTATAACAATCCAGCACTTGTTTGAATGCAACTCTACAGCAACCCTCCGGACGAAACACAGGATCTCTGCGTAAGTTATAAGCTGTACCAACTGTATCTAAACGTAGTCGCTAATGACCACAAGGTTCATGCAACTGTAAATAAATTAAAATTAAAAAAATTTCACGTTGTTGCTTTTATTGGAGACAATTTAGGGTTGGCTGGAGCTCTGGGATTTTCTGAATCTTTTTCTTCAAACTATCCCTGCAGGATATGTAACGCTCACAAAAAACAAGTACAGACGATGTGCTACGAAGACCGTACACTTTTAAGAAATATTCACTCTTACTTAGATCAGGTTCAGTTACAAGATGTTTCAAAAACGGGGATTAAAGAAAAATGCTTTTGGTTAAATTTGAAAGGTTTTGATTTGTTCGAGAATGTTCCGACCACACTTTTCGATTTTTTTCTTAACCTTTGGTTTAAGCTGTTTCATTAACAGTACAATTAATGGTATTGCTGCAGCAGCTGCAGCTATTGCTAATCGTTGTCCAACTTGAGGATTCATTATTATGTAAATTGTAAGGTTATAATACACAAACAAAAATAAACACATGAACTGTCAAGTGTCATACCAACTAGAGAAGAATAACAAGAACTAAACATTTCTGTGATTTTGTTCATAGATTATTTTTGTTAAAAAAAACTATACCGTGCAATACACGACTTTTTGGTTTTTTGCTCCCACTGTTACAATTTGTTAGTTCATAAATTTGGTATCAAATTCGTTGCAAAAAATATTATCGAGCTTTAGTAATTCTACAAACTGTAGTGTTATTTTTTACAGATTTTCGGCATCATTGCCTGTCACAAACTTCGAAAGTTGATCAAGATCGTTTTCTACTGAAATACATGGGTAGGTATTCCCGTACCTCGAAAACGAAAGCAGTGTGATGACCATATGCCACAATCAATAGTAGTGAAGTATAAACTACGAAAGCACAGTGGTGAAATAGTACAAATACAGTAAGAATTTTCTACATGGTTAATAAAAAAAAGTAGGTACCAAATACATTTAAGCTGCAACATCTAATCGTTTAGCTATTTTGGCTAGATACTTTATGCTTACTGGTGAGATGCCTCAAGAACGGCGAGGGAGAGATCGGTGTTAGGGAGCGAACTCATAATTCGACACGGTAGAATTAGAAATGAGTGCCATGATTAACGAGCGGTAATTTCCGCCCATTTTGGGAAAAGGACTCCCTAACCACCTTACTTTATGTATTCATGTTTTCTAGGCTTAAGTTTAGTTCAGTAAGCGCAGTTGTAAATACAGTCCACTTAGTGTAAGAAAAGTGTAAGGTGCTAGAATAAAGGAAACCGTGAAAGCAGTTGTTCTTATTTCCAATCAACATCTACCCCAACTGGGCTTGCTGGATTCAACAATCGGTCAAAATTACAATAGAAAGAAATTTCAGTTTCAGTTAGAGCTCACATTAAGTCATACAAATGTCGCGAAAGTGACTACTCTAGAGCCAAAACATGTAGGTTATATTTAGCATCAGAGTTAAAAAAAGTGTTTTATACTTTAGACTTTAGTCTTGGATTTGGGAATCCTCATACTGACACTTGTTCCACTTGTAAAAAATGTAAAATCTCCGTCAAATCTACATTTTTTTATGTCTGCTCCACGTGCATACTTCTGCGTTTCGCACATAAGTTTCTTGTGTTCTGCTTTCGTTTTTAGTTTTCATCGTTCTTTCATTTCGTTATAATAAGGTACGATTATCTTTAACCTTTCCCTTGCAGCCCCCCTTTTTTTATTTTAGTAATGGGGAAGTCCAAGAAATCTTATCGCGAACGTCACCGTATCCGCTCGCGGTCCTCTAGCAGGGCCTCATCTCGGCTGGAGGTAGCCGCTCTCCTCAAAGGCATTGAGATTCTGGAGCATGCCGCTGCTGCGAAAAATTTTCGTTCGTTTTCCTGCTCGTCTCAACGGGGCGACGCGTGTAGCTCGTCTCCGTTGTCGCCTTACCCTCGGCGCCTGTCGGGCGGAGAAAATTCCCTTCCGGCTTCCTGATCCTCAGGCGTCCGAACACAATGCGTGTAGCATTAGAGGCGAATCCGAGGCCGACAACGTCCTGGTCCTTAATGATGAGGAACCTTTACCAGATGACGGTCCTGGCTCTGCTTGGCCGCAGACCCAAACGGAGAAAATACAGGTGCTGCTCCCTTACATGAGGCTATGGCCACTAGTTGGCGCCATGTGCTAAAAAACGGCTTTAGCAAAGACGAGCTTAGCAACGTCGTTTCTAAGTATTCAGTTCCTAGATCTAACATGGAATAGGGAATATGCATGTGGTTTAAATTTACTTGATTCTTTCTCCAGCAAATATTTATTGTCCTGACATTATACTTAAACCATTAGTTTCTTATTTAGTTTGTTTTTAATTGCTAAAAATGTTAATTCAAAAGTGCAAAATAAGCGAACGAAATTCAAATTTGCGAAACGCTTCACTACTGGACGAATAAAATGACGTCAAATGCCACGCGATCGCATTTTGTTGTGTCAATTTTATAAGTACTTAGTCCAGTCAAATTCGCTCCATTAGTATGACGTAGTAGATACCAGCTGTGTTGGTGTAGGTCAAGGTGCTTTATCTAAACAAACCGCGCTTCTGTGTAAAATTCATATGCTTGTATTGTTTTTGCTTAATATAAATTAAATTAGAAAGAAAAGGACTATAAAAAGTAAGTATTTTCAATTTACTGGTGAACTGGAACTTACTATGCCAATTTGGTTTATGATTTCTCACAATTATTAACTTTATATCAAAAATAAAGTTTTATAACCTAAAAATTATTGTTATGAATGGTAGTTTTGTAGGTGTGTAGTACCTGCTTGGGATACAGAATGGTTTTATGTTGGGCACCTGGTTGTAAACATTACAACGTACGGGAAACCTACAAGTTTTACAAGTTCCCTGCTAGCGGAAAAGAAAGACTTCGTTGGAAGAAGTTAGTGAGGCAAGTTTTTCTTATTGCTAATGAAACTTGGCAACTACAATTTGATTAACAACTTTAACATGAAGCTGTTTATAGGCGAGATGTTGAACCTGGCCCCGGTGCATACTTATGTAGTTGCCATTTTGTAGACGGTAAACGAGAATCGGGACCCGTACTGTTTGCTCATAACAAAGACAAAAGGTTTACGTTTACCAGTCCAAAGAAGAAAAAAATTAAGTTAGACATAAGTGATCCTATAGCGCAGAGCAGGTAAAGGGATATCTTTTATAAGTGAAATCTATTATTTTGTTTGCAGTAGTTGCGTACCAGAACAAGAACCGGACCAAGAAATTCCATGTCACAGTGCAGAAGTGGAGATTGTTAGTATCTCTAGAGACAATCCTCAACCTGGTCCTTCATACGCTACAGACGTTCAGATTGGCAGTGATCCGCAGCCTGGTCCGTCACCTCTTTCCCAAATCTCTACTGCTATAATCTATGGTGAAAGTTATTTTTTAGAAAAGGACTTGGAAGACTTAAAACAAAAATATAATGCTCGACAATTCACATATGACAGCATATGTAACAACAACGAATTAGTCTCCATGTACACTGGATTGCCAAATAATAGTGTATTTTGTGCCCTTTACAATTTACTTAAGGATTTGGAGATAAATTATTATTTAAAGTGGCAAGTACAAATAATTAGTAAAAAAGATCAACTTTTTATGACACTAATGAAGTTAAGAAGAAACTTCCCACATTTAGATTTGGCAGTAAGTTGGTGTGGCTCCCAACGGTGTGATTACTTATTTAAGTTCCCTCTATCCTGCATCCACAAGCGACAAAAAAATCGTTCAGCATTATGGTGTTTTAGAACAGTTGGAACCTGGCGACTTAATATTGGCCGATAAAGGTTTCCTAATCGGCGACATACTACCTGCAGGTATTAGTCTGAATATCCCACCATTCCTGAATACGGGTCAATTTACACCAGAACAAGTAAAAAGGACTGAGTGTATTGCTCGCGCAAGAGTACACGTGGAAAGAGCAATATGTCGGATGAAAAACTTTAAAATATTAAGTTTTATTCCAAGCACTATGCTTTCTCATGCCGACATTATTTTTCAAACCGTGGGAGCTTTAACAAATTTACAAAACCAACTAATAAAAGAAGTGGAAAGCAATTATTTAGACACCAAAGTAAATTAACTTTTTTGTAAATAATATATGTTTATTAATCTAGTAATGTAGAATTTTGTTTTTTTTTTAGTATTTTAAGTTCCACATATGTAAGGTACAAGTTTTTCAAAATAAAATTCTTTTAAAATTGTAATATTTTGCAACCATGCATCCTCTTTAAGTACTTCAACGACTTCAAGCTCATTTGGAGTCCAAATAAGTAGGTAACATGCTCTTCTATTCGTCATATGGAGTTGTCCTTGGATTTGGTGCCAATAATTGTGTTTCCGGTTGATGACAGTCTCTTCATTTTCCTTATAAATAATATAACTTCGGTCATTAGATAAAGCTTGCTTTAAGCTAGAGTTTCTGTATTTATATGGGCACTTCACTTCCACAATGTGTGTGTCGCCTACCAATCCATCGGGGCTTGCCCCCAAATAGCCACACTCGTGCAACCACAAACCAGTTGATTGGACATCAACGCCAAACAACTTTTGAAAAGTCTCTATTGCACATTTTTCACGTTCTCTTCCCCACTGCACAGCAAGTAGGGAATTTAAACTGTAGCCTTCTACCAGGCTTTTAAACAATGATGGTGGAAATCTATTCCTGTTGCATGCATTCAATACTACACCAAATTTACTTGCGGTAAGTCGATGTTTCCGAATGATCAACCACCTTTCATTTGAAGCCTGACCCCTTGTTGAATGTACCACATTCTCAAGCATCCCCGTAGTGAGACGGCATTTTTCTGCTAAATACGCAGACTTCTCTGCACAAGACATGTATGATTGTGAAAACAAAATGTCTTCGATAACGGGTACATCTAAAGAGTAATTTTGAGCATCTTCTTCAGGGTTCAGCAGCCATGTAAACCCTACTACGCAGGTTTGTAGGGCATTGCGGAAGGTTGAAATTGCTTCTGAGCCAATGTTACTCCTTAATGGCTGGTACCGTTAATGTTTCGTAGGATATATATCTCTAATGGTATGCAGTTCATCAACAGCTTTTTTCGGGGCATTCCATGAACAGGGCTGCTCGGTAACGCTTACGTTATGATGTGCATGAATGCACAATGCTGCCATATGATGGCATATTGCTTGCCCCCTAGGGCAATTACATTTCCCTTCGATTATACCGTCTTCCCTATCGATCCAAATCTAAAAATGAATAATTAGTCAATGATAATGTGTACCTACTGTTTTTACTTACTTCAACAATGTATTCACGGTTCTTCATACTGGCTTGCACATCTCCCTTCAACAACATCGGCGATAGCGACGAATCGAAAGTCAATTTGGAAACGTGCCCACTTTCATATGCAATTTCGCTACGACGTAATTGATTTCCGTTTTCTTTGAAGAAATGCGCAATAATGGATAACGAAATTACATGTTTCGTTGCCACTGTGAATTAATACACCCATTATAATAAAAGAATACAGCTTTTAAGTGAGGTTAAAGGTACAATAGCTTTATTAATTACATAAAAAATTACACCAATGTTAGTTGGAACTTTCTGGAAGTTTTACACTTGTTCTTTAACCAATATCAAAAAAAATCAACAGTGATATGCAAAATAAAATGGCAGGACACTTTGTTTGGATAATGCGCCTTGACCTTCCTCAACGCACTCGCTACGATGACGTCACAACTAATTGAACGAATTAGGTACAGCTTGGGCAGATTGGGCTGGGTGTTGTCATTTCACTCAACGAAATCAAGTGTCTTCTATGTAAAAAGATCCGGTGAATCCGAAAATCATACTCCCCCTAACCGAAAACTCCCGGAATATATTGTTATGTATAAACAAAAACCGAAGAAAAAAGGCAAAATGTCGTTTCTTTTCGCATTTAACTTCAATTATCTCGTTAACTATTACTGTAAGAGAAAAAATGAAGAGAAATGAATTGGTTTAGAATTGAATTTTCTATAAGATACAATGGGTATGAAACGTTCATTTACAAATGTTATTGTTTTTTATGGAAAAATATAAAAAAGCAATCCCGAAGATTATCAGTTGGTTATTACTATCCATCCGATCTTTTTGAAAATCCGTATTTGGTCACTTCTTTTGATAACAAAACAATATGACAAACCCGATCGCCATAGATTTGATAGTTTTTGCATAATTAAATAAACAAATTTACAAAAC